ACTACTCTGAACACGGCATTTCTTCCTGACCCCAAATATGGCAACTGGTCTGACCTGAAGCAGAAGATTTAAACAGCTAATTTCTATTAAAATAAGAAATCAATGGGATTTAAGTACCTAAATCCCTTTGAGGGTCTGGGTCTGCATGACCTGCCCGGGAACTCACAGAATGGCTGTGGCAAACAAAGGAACTGAAACAAAGATTTTCTACATCCCATGTTAGTACTCTAGCAATTGGACCATCATTCCTCTCCTAGTGGCACTCCTGGCCCTGTGCAGGATTGGAGTCTGCACAGGACTGGCACTCCAGACACCCATTTTTAAGAAGCTGATTGTAATTTTGAAACCACAACAGTTTGACTGACAGAAGCCCTCTCACACTTCTGGCAGGAATTCTCCACACCTGCAAATATGACCATTGCTTTCTTTTAATATGATACACCCGACCTTTACTGGAAATGTCTGCATAAGAAAATACAAGAGACCAAGTGAACTTAGTTAGAAAGCTAAATAACTGTGCAAAGCTGGATTGTTTACTTTCTTGCTCCATTCAACCAGCCTAAGTTATAAGGTGGATTGATAGATCTTTGCTTGCTTGAGTCAGACGCTGGAAATAACTAATATTTTTCCCTGATTTTTCCCGATGGACCTTAACTGCAATGCCTCCTCTCTTTTTCTGAGAAACCATTTAAGTTTTGCTGAGCCTGTTAATTATATAGGATACTTTCAGACAGAGACATGGGAGGAATACCTTGCAATTCACACCATTAGCCTATCCTGGTGAATCAAGCTAACATTTGAAAATAGCCAACCATGATTACATTTAAAATATTTAAATAGAGGAACAAATGTTCCCCAAAAGTTTGTATGGATAATTGTACTGATATGAAGATCCTTTGAGCAACTTTTAGTGTGTGATACAATATGAACTCAAGCAAGACAGAAATTGAGGATTTTTTCTGAGGTTCAAGTTGAATCATTTCAAGCCTTTGTAATTCACAGGTTATGTTAATCCTTAACAGAAGCACTCAACACAATCTGTGATGTAGCCTGTACAGAATATAAGGATCCAAGTTGCCTACTACCCTTCACATGTGACAGTTATTTATGCCAGTGGGTAATGAAAAAAAATATAGGGTAATGATTTTGCATCCCTTCTGGTTTCCTGAGTATGAATAACTATGACAAGTGCCAGGCAATGGAAAAGTTTGTGGAGATGGTGCCATTCTTCATCTCACTCTTGCATATGTGCAATACAGAATATATTCAGAGCACAGAAATTTGGTCTACCATTAGTTATTCAGGGTCTGAATGAGGCATCAGAATTATATTCCACAGTTCTTTTTTATATGAAGACAAAGGCATTTTCAAAATCCTTACACATGACCGCTGTATCTTTTACAGGTATGCAACATTCACCCTTCACATTCAGGATTCAAGGCCTCAAAGCCGAATTTGCTAGGGAGGATTAGTTCTTTAATGGCTTCAGGCACTACTGCTTGCACTTTGGGCGGGGGAATTCTTAATGTGTATACCTGTTGGAAACTCTGGACCAGTGTTTTAAAAAAATTTCAGCTGTTTCTTGCTGTTCACCTTTAAACCCTAATAACCTTTTCCCCACACATGATCTTTTCCAGGAAAACTTTTAAAAGAAAAAAGTTTATGTCTAGTTATTTTAAGTATGGATGGGCATATTAGTAGATTAATAGACCTAAGAAAAACAACCCAGTATAGCAGAAGCAGCAGCCATTCTCCTGCCCGTCTACAAAGGAAATATATAATCCATCTGTGGCAGCTGTAGTAAAACACAACATCTGTTGATCATTGACAACACTCTGGAAAGGACTCCCAAAATCCAAGCAGGCTTTGGCATTTTTTATGACTTTTCACTTCAGACCTGAGACATACAGTCACTTGCACGTATTGTGCTGTCTGACTACAAGGCTTTGCGGTGTTAGTTTGTCAACCAGGCAAAAAAAAAACCACCCCCAAAAACTGAACGTCATAGGGAACAAGGGCAAACCTATGCGGGTTCAGTGAATAAACAATGGGTGTAGCAATGTGGGGATTCTACCCTCACTTGCACTCCTAATTAAAGAGCAGTTCTATTTTCTATTGGCAGCACAACTATATTTTTGAAACACTTGTATCAGACCCTTTCACTGGTCTCATTGGCTATAGCTCCATTGAAGTCAAAAGGAGCCCTGCCATTTGCATCAGCTGAGATTCTAGCTTCCTATATGTCAGGTTTTAAACACAAGGGGGAAAAAAAATAAAGTTGTGATGAATGCGATCAAAATGCAGCACTTTTTTACCCCCTGCCCCACCCTGATTCCTTCAGTGGATGTATATCATCTGAAGATTTGGCTCAAAGCATTGGGTAGTTATTAAGATAAGCAATGGAGGTTGCTGTCTAATAAAGGCAGATCAGCTAGTCTGGTGATTAGTGATAACCCACTGTTCTGACTTATTTTTTTTTCAAAAAAGCAAAATAAGAAAGACTTTCTGTAGAAAAAAAGCCACCCTAAGGTTGATCCTTCTTGTTTAACTTCTTAATCTGCTTAGCTAAAGCTTGCATGGTACCATAATACCATTTCTGCAGAGTGCTGATAATCTCCCATCTCCCCCTCCC